TAGGGAAGATTTCATTTTCATAAATTATTATAGATATTATTCTAATCTTTATACCAAAACATGAACCAAATTTCAGCTTGCTAAAATTTACCTCTCATCATTTCTATCATATAGATTTGGATTCTTTTTCCCTACCTGTGAGACAATTCCACAATCTTCTTATTTATTTATTTTCTTATGTTCACCTAAAATGACAATGTCAACATTTTTCTATTGAGAATTCTTAATAGTTATAGATCCCATCATATGATACTGATCTTTCTGGGTCTTTTAAATTTGGAAAGGCCACTAAGATCATTTCATTGATTTCTACTACAACTAATGAGAAAAAAAAATTACAAAGAATATTTTTAAAATTGAAGAGTACAAATCCATGAGTGTTTCGGAGGTCATAATTCATAGATAAGAAAATATCTATAAATGAAACATTATATTATCCCCGCTACATGATAACAAGTGAGCTTGCCACAGTTTCACAGCTGTTAGCAAAAGAACTTGTGAGAGAAAAGAACTTGTTCTCTCATGGCAGAGAAGAAAGAATAAACTTCCCATAACAACAACAAATCAAAAGCACTGCTGTTAAGTTAATCCAAATTCATATCTATAGGATATCAAATGCAAATCTATAGGAGAGAGTAGAATTATGAACAGACTGTAAACTAAGCGTAAACATTCTGCATCCATGAAGGGTCTGGAAGATTTTAATTGTCAGCCTTTTGGTTAGAAGCTAAATTCTTTAACCACTGACTGCAAGTACAAACTACACATAAAATACCATGTCAAAATAAAAAAAAAATCACAGTACTAAATCATAATCATGATATTATGGGGGGGAAGTAATTAATAAAAAATGAATCAAAAAGAAAGAATTAGCACTATAAATAGTTAGGCTATTTGGTGTTGTGCAGTAGGACACAAAAAGATCATTGTCTACAGATAGATTTGTTTTGGCAATGAAAATAATGTGAGCTAGGTTGGTTTATTTAAATTTTGTTCTCAAAGGCTACCAAGAGTCTGAGCCCGACGATGAGGCCTGGAACGGGAGCCAAGCGTGGAGGCCTCATGGTGAGTGAAATGGAGAGCCATCCTCCGTTGCAGGGTTCCGGGAACGGGGAGCGGAGATTGCCCGGCTCAAGCCTTTGCTCCAGCTCTTGGGTCTCTTCTGACGGCTTCCTGAGGAGACGGCCCTCGATGCGACACCCTGGCATGCATTATGCTCCTATGGGAATGCACCCTATGGGTCAGAGAGCAAATATGCCACCTGTACCTCATGGAATGATCCCTCAGATGATGCCCCCTATGGGAGGACCACCAATGGGACAAATGCCTGGAATGATGTCTTCAGTTATGCCCGGGATGATGATGTCGCATATGTCTCAGGCTTCCATGCAGCCTGCTTTACCACCAGGAGTAAATAATATGGATGTAGCAGCAGGTACTACATCTGGTGCAAAATAAATGGGACAGAACATAAATCACCTGATGGAAGGACTTACTATTACAATACTGAAACAAAGCAGTCTACTTGGGAGAAACCAGATGATCTTAAAACACCTGCTGAGCAACTGTTATCTAAATGGAAGGAATACAAATCTGAATCTGTAAAGTCTTACTATTACAATTCTCAAACAAAAGAATCACGCTGGACCAAACCTAAAGAACTTGAGGATCTTGAAGCGATGGTCAAAGCTGAGGAAAGCAGTAAGCAAGAAGAGTCCACTACTACATCAGCAGCCCCTGTTCCTACAACAGAAATTTCGACCACAATGAGCACTATGGCTGCTGCAGAAGCAGCTGCTGCAGCCGCCGCCAATGCCAATACTTCCACTTCTACTTCAAATACTGTCGGTGGAACAGTTCCAGTTGTTAGTGAACCTGAAGTCACTTGCATTGTTGCTACTGTTGTTGATAATGATAATACAGTAAATATTTCAACTGAAGAACAAGCACAACTTTCTAGTAGTACCCCTGCTATTCAAGAGCAAAGTGTTGAAGTATTCAGTAATACAGAAGAAACCTCTAAGCAGGAAACTTTAGCTGACTTTACTACCAAAAAAGAAGAGGAAGAAAGCCAGCCACCCAAAAAGACTTATACCTGGAATACAAAGGAAGAAGCAAAGCAGGTCTTTAAAGAATTATTAAAAGAAAAGAGAGTACCATCTAATGCTTTGTGGGAGCGAGCTATGAAAATGATCATTAATGACCCACGATACAGTGCTTTAGCAAAGTTAAGTGAAAAGAAACAGGCCTTTAATGCTTATAAAGTCCAAACTGAGAAAGAAGAAAAAGAAGAGGCACGATCAAAATACAAAAAAGCTAAAGAATCTTTTCAGCATTTTCTTGAAAATCATGAAAAAATGACTTCTACAACTAGATACAAAAAAGCATAGCAAATGTTTGGAGAGATGGATGTCTGGAATGCAATATCAGAACGTGATCGTCTTGAAATCTATGAAGACGTTTTGTTTTTTCTTTCAAAAAAAGAAAAGGAACAAGCAAAGCAGTTGCGGAAGAGAAACTGGGAAACCTTAAAAAATATACTTGACAATATGGCTAATGCAACATACTCTACGACACGGTCTGAAGCACAACAATATTTGATGGATAATCCAACTTTTGCAGAAGATGAGGAGTTACAAAACATGGACAAAGAAGATGCATTAATTTTCTTTGAAGAACACATTCGGGCTTTAGAAAAAAGAAGAAGAGGAGGAGAAACAGAAAAGCATGCTGAGAGAAAGGAGACAACAAGGTAAAAATAGGGAATCTTTTCAGATATTTTTAGATAAATTGCATGAACATGGACAACTACTTTCTATGTCATCTTGGATGGAATTGTACCCAACAATTAGTTCTGACATTAGATTCACTAATATGCTTGGTCAGCCTGGATCAACTGTGCTTGATCGTTTCACGTTTTATGTTGAGGATCTTAAAAGCACATCATCATGATGAGAAGAAGATAATAAAAGACATTCTAAAGGATAAAGGATTTGTAGTAGAAGTAAATACTACTTTTGAAGATTTCATGGCAATAATCAGTTCAACTAAAAGGTCAACCACATTAGATTCTGGAAATATTAAACTTGCTTTCAGTAGTTTGCTAGAAAAGGCAGAAGCCCGTGAACATGAAAGAGAAAAAGAGGAGGCTCGGAAAATGAAACGCAAAGAGACTGTCTTTAAGAGTATGTTGAAACAAACTGCTCCTCCAATAGAATTAGATGCTGTTTGGGAAGATATCCGAGAGAGATTTGTAAAAGAGCCTGCATTTGAAGACATAAGTCTAGAATCTGAAAGAAAACGAATATTTAAAGATTTTATGCATGTACTTGAGCATGAATGTCAACATCATCATTCAAAAAACAAGGAACATTCTAAGAAATCTAAGAAACATCATAGGAAATGTTCTCACTCTCGATCGGGGTCAGATTCAGATGATGACGATAGCCATTCAAAGAAGAAAAGACAGCGATCTGAGTCGCGCTCTGCTTCGGAGCATTCTTCTAGTGCTGAGTCTGAGAGAAGTTATAAAAAGTCAAAAAAGCATAAGAAGAGAAGACATAAATCTGACTCTCCAGAATCAGATACTGAGCGAGACAAGGACAAAAAAGAAAAGGATCGTGAAAGTGAAAAGGACAGAAGCAGGCAAAGATCAGAGTCAAAACACAAATCACCTAAGACAAAGACTGGAAAGGATTCTGGTAATTGGGATACTTCTGGCAGTGAACTGAGTGAAGGCAAATTAGAAAAGCGCAGAAGGACCCTTTTTGAGCAACTGGATGATGATCAATAAATTATACCGAATATAAAAAAAGGGCTACCAAGAGTTTAAAGAATAAATTAGTGCTATATGGTTTCAAAGTTTTTGTATCTTTTCATTGTTGTTGTTGTTGTTGTGTACCATTGAGTCGGAATCGACCCATAGCCGAAACTCTAGTGGGTTTTCAGAGGCAGTTAATCACATGGGAGGAGACTGCCTATCCTTCTTTCACGGAGGAGCTGATGTGGCCTTGAATTACATGCCTTTAGGACTACAGCACAGCTTCTTACCACTAGGCCAACACAGCTCCTTGTCCTTATATTATACAATGATATATTTCAGTTTAGTAAATAATTTACCTGAATTAATAAATTAACATAGTGAAGCTACATTTATATAATCAGCTCTTTTTTCTGTAACAGCTTAAAATGTCATTTTGAAAAACACCATACAATTTAATTATTATTGAGTAAAGTCGGGAGAATTAGTTAGTAGAGAACATAAATCAGTGATTTTTATTAGAGCATGAAATTAAGTACCTCTTACAGAAGATGGAAGCCCCAAGAGTATAAAGATGATGCTATTGACATATCAGTTCATTATAATACAAGTGATTAGTGGTTGCTTTTATATAAATGGAAGGGTCTGGTGATATTAAGTGCACTCACCAAATAATTCCATTAAAATTTCTAAATGATCTGATCTTATATTCATTTAACAGCTTATTTGCATGTTCTCTCTCATATAAAACATCCAAGATGGATTTTCATAACCAATGGAAGTGATGATATAGATTATTATCACAATAATAGACAAAAATATCACACTTGAGAGTTCCAAAGAACTAATAGCAGGGACAATTGTATTTTGAGTAATACAGGTAATTTTCTATGATATTTACTAAATAAATACAATCAACATTTTTTTCCTTCTATTTCATTAGAAACGAGAGAAGATAAAAGAGGAAAAATTCCCCAATCTTTGGTGCAAGCATAGCCATGGAGTAGGAACTACTAGATGATTTGTACATGTCTAACTAAAGTTCTACATTGTATTAAAACACTGATTATTTCTATTAAAGAATATTTGAGCACTATGTGATCCTCCAAAATACTATGTTTTCTATCAAAGAACTCCAACATGAGTTTTAGAAAATTAAGGAAAAAATCTGCATTTTTAATGTTGGCAAAGAATAATCAAGATAAAGAAATTTCTTTAAAGTTTTAATACCAAATTATATTTGCTGTAAAGAAAATAGATTGTATACTGTACACTTGAAAGAACCTTTGATTTCTGTAACATTCTTTAGTATCATTGGCTTGGCATTATTATAATCAGGTGACTCTGAAAATGTCAAATGAGGAGCTATAACAGGAAATGATGGAAGGAGAATTGATGCCTTTGAGCTGAGGTGCAAGAGAAAAGTATTGAATACACACACCATGGACTGGTAGAAGAATAAATAGGTTCATCCTAGGAAGGGGATACCAGGCTGCTACATGGAGACAAAGATTCTGAAGCTTTGTCTGACATACTTTGAACATGTTGCAAGGAGGGACCAGTCCTTGGACAGGGATGTCATGCTTAGGAGGGTTAAGAGATGGCACAAGAGAGGAAGACCCCCAATGAGATAGAGTGGTTCAGTGATTGGGGTAATGGGTGTAGATGTGTAAGAGACAATAAGATGACACAGGATAGAACAGTTTAGGTCTGTTGTGCATAGGATCACTATGAGTCACAGGCAACTCAACAACATGTAACAACAAACAATAACTGTGTTGTAGGGTTTGAGGTCAGGGGATTTTATGCCTCCCATTTCATTTTTGTTTTCCATAAGTGCTTTGCATTTTGGGGGTCTATTTCCTCTCCAAATAAATTGAAAAATTGCCTTATAGATCTCCTCGAAAAATGTATTTGGTACCTGTATTGGGATTGCATTGAACATGTAGTTTACTTCTGGTAGAATTGTTATATTTACTATATCGAGTTCTCCACAAACAGGAAACTTTGTTTTTTCACTTATTTAGATCATTTTTTTTCTTTCTCACAGAAGTATTCTGTAGTTTTCTTTGTATGTGTCTTTTGTATCTCTAGTTATATTTAACCCAAGTATCTCAATTTGTCGCTGGCTATTTTTAATGGTAGCAATGAATTTTTTAGTCTGACTGTTTATTTAACTACTCTGGAAAATATTGTTGGCAATGTTGAAGTGATATGGAAATTTTGGATAGTAAAACTTTGTCACAACATGTTGCCAGGGCATGTTGCTAGGCTAGGCTAATCCATGGAGTGAAACCTCATGCTTCGATATGCAGAGGGTCAGAGAAAGAGAGGAAGAACTTTGATAAGATATACTGGCACAGTGATTGCAGCAATGGGCTCAAGTGTCGTGGGGATGAAAAGTATGGCTCAAGATAGGACAGGGAACAGATCTGTTTATCATAGGGTCATTATGAGTTATACTAAACTAGCTGGCAATTAACAACACCAACAACATCCTTATTTTAATTTCATATAATGTGTTGTTGTTTTAAACTTTCTTTGATTTTCTTTTTTCTCTTTATTTTATCTTACATTCTCTTTATAATTTAACAAAAACCTAATTGTAAAATTACTTTACTAATATAAAAATACATCAACTTATTAATTTACCTAATTTTTTTCTTTCCTCTTTTTATTAATTTTAACAGACATTTACAGAGGTTTTGGATTTAAAGTTTAGCCAAGTATTATAATGAGCTTCAGTCAAAAATCAACAGGAGTGAAATAGCTCAGCATTTCTTAAGATAGAGGAACTGAAGAGCAAATTCAAGCCTTGAGCTGTAGTTCTTAAAGATGCTGAAGGCAGAATGCAGAAAGACCCAAGAAGCATCAAAAGAAGATGAGGGGGAGACGATGAAATGAGTACACAGAGTCACTATGCCAAAAGTAATTTTCTTACACAGAAGAATTCCATAAAACCATATGTTATCAAGAGACAATGGTGATTAATGAGGAAGTTCAAGCTGCTCTGAAGGAATTGGCAAACAAAACAATGCCCCAAGAAGTGATGGAATACCAATTTACATATTTTGGTAAACAGATACTGCCCTGGACTTGCTAACCAGATTTTGTCAAAAAATCTAGGGAACTACTCCTTAGCCAACTGACTGGAAAAGACCTATATTTATTCCCATTTCAATAAAAAGGTGACCAAACAGGATGTGAAAATTATCAAACAATATCACTAACATCATAAGCAAGCAAGATCCTGCTGAAGATTATCCAAAAGCAATGGAACAGTACATGAGCAGAGAATTGCCAGCTGTGCAAGCTGGGTTTAGAGGAGACCATGGCACTAGTAACATTATATCCAATGCTAGTCGGCTTTTGGCTGAAGCAGAGAGTACTAGGGGAATTTCTATCTGTGTTTCATTGACCACAAAGGCACTTGACTTTGTGGATAACAAAAATTGTGGCTAACCTTGAGAATAATGGGTATCCCAGAAGACTTGTGCTCATGTGAAATCTATACTTGAACTTGGAAGTAGTATTCAGAACAGAGCAAGAAAATACTGCATGGTTTAGGATCAGGAAAAGTGTGCATCAAAGACACATCCTATCTCCATACCTTTCCAATCTATATGGAGAATAGATCATCAGGAGGCTGAGTTCTATGACAAGGAATGTTGTTTCAGGATTGGAGTTACCTGTGACTCATAATGATGCTATGTACAAAAGATCTGAAATCTGCCTTTTCCTTACCAGTCTCATTGATTCCTCCACACATTCCCCATTGCCTCAATTACTTTTATCTCTCATCTTGGGTCTTCCTCACTATACCTCCAGCCTTCCAAGAATGATGTCCTTCTCCAAGGACAAGTTCTTTCTGAACATGTGCCCACATTATGTAAGACAGAGCTTCAAAATCCTAGCATCTAAGGAAAAACCTGGTTTTAATCTCTCCAAGACAGGAGGTCTTGGCAGTCCATGGTATGGTCAATACTCTTCTTCGGTACCACAACTCAAAGGCATTAATTCTTCTGCTGTCTTCCTTAGTCATTGTCCAGTTTTCTGATGCATAGCAAGTATTTGCAAAGATTATGACCTAGATTAAGTGCATTTTAATCTTTAGCCTGACATCATTGCTACTTAGTACTCTAGGTCATTGGGTGAATATTGAACTTTTATGAAAGTCATGGTTTTTTTTTTTTTTTTTGTAATATCAGTATTCTCATGTATTGGAAACTTCTATGTGTTCAATGTTCTGCTGGGGGTATAGTCCACAGAGAGCTGTACTGTGAAACCAAAGGCCACACTTCTCTAGTGATTTCAATCTAATAGCAGCTCTACAGAAGAAAAATGAGCCATCTCTTTCCATGAGAAATACAGCTTAAGAAATTCAATGGAGGGCGCCTGTTAGTTGGTTCAAACTTGACAGCAATGAGTTGAGTGTGTAGAATGTTTATCTTCCTCTCCTCCCTCAGTTTAGGTAAATATGGGCAATGAATGCAAAAATTATGACACATATGGAGCTTAATAAATTAAACAAATAAAATTTTGTAACTTACTAAAGAATTCTATTTGTTTTCCATTAACATCTATAGAACATTTAAAAGACTATCTTATTACCTTGAATATAGAATCCTTAAAAAGGATTTGAGCCTCTGTACCCAGATATTTTTTAATATTTTTGCTGTGACACAGTAACATGGGTAATGAGGATAAGTATATTAAAGATAGTGAGATTGGCTTAGGATAGAGCAGGGTCTAGAGCTATCATGCATTGGCTTACTGTGAGTTGTAGTCAACTTGATGGAAAATAACAAAAACAATAAATGTTAAAATTCTAGAAAAATTCGGTAGTTACTTTGAAAAAGGTGCTATGATGAATGAGCCATTTGTAAGCTTAATATGTTTTCTTTGTCCTATTTGTTGAATACATTCTGAACTTTTCTTAATGATTAGAATTGATTTTTTTTCAACAAGATACATTGTGTGTGTGTGTGTGTGTGTGTGTGTGTACCTTTGGTAATGAACTGTATGGTAGTATATATTGTTGT